ATGGTAGTTGTGGCTGCTTCAAGTACGGGGGCCCCAGACGACCTACGGTTTTGTTGGGGGTTCTAGGAAGGGGGTTTAGGGTTTCGGGGCTGTCGGGGCTCAGGGTTAAGGATTTAGGGTTTCGGGTTTAGGGTTTAGGGCTTCACCAAGTATACTATTTTAGGGATTCGGGCCCATCTCAGGCATGGGTCTTGCAAAATAAGCGTGATGTCAACTCGACGATCCAAATCCTAAACGTCCTAAGCCATGGAACCACAGACTCAAGACTTGGTAGCCCACTAACGATCCTAGACGCAGGCGTAACCCAGGAATAAACCTTTTGGGTTCAGCGGTTTATAGGGGAAACTTAACCCTACAAAAATTGAAACAGGGCTTACTCTGGGTCCTAGAATAAGGGCACCCTTTTTGGGGTTGGTTCCAATTCATAAGGGAACCCAGAACCAAAAAAGAAGGGCAAAGGATAATTTTCACTGGGCCACCAAGAAGAGGTCTTTATCATAGTCTAAGCCCTAAACTCATAAACACCAACCCCCAAAATGTTGTATGCCCCAGCCCCAGCCATAAAACCTTTAAATCCTAAACTCAAAACCCCCAAAACCCTAAACTTCAAAGTCCTAAGCCCCAGACACTTAGGCTAGTCTAGGTTACAACTTTCACACACCACAAATCCGCAAATCTAAAACCTTGGCAAGCCCCGCAGCCGCAAAGCCCTTGTCTGCAGGATTTAGGACTGATTTAGGGTTTAGGATTTAGAGTTTAGGGTTTAGGGTTTTAGGGTTTGGGGCTTAGGGTTTAGTGCTTAGGGGGCTTTGGGGAAGTACGTTTTCGATTTATTCGACTGGGGGCTTTGGTGGATTTACGGTCGAGCCCTAAACCCTAAACCCTAAACCCAAAACCCTAAACCCTAAACCCTGCCCCTAAACCCTAAACCCTAAACCCCCCGTGCTGGCCTACAAGGAACCGGAAAGGCACGAGGCACTGCCTGGGGAGAGCGATCCCAGCGGGCATTTCTAGCAAGCTTCCGGGTTTAGTTTTTTTTTTGGTGGTGGGAGGTTTAGGGTTTAGAGTTTAGGGTTTAGGGCTCAGGGATTGGGGTAAGGAAACCTACAGCTGCCCTTGATCGGGACATGATAGAAGTAGTTGGCGGGGGAAGGGGGTGATCTGGCAAAAAGAAGTTCAGCTTTGAAACTAGACCCAGGAGTAACCTAGGAATAAAAAGGGTGCCCTTTTTGGTTTTAAGGGGATTATAAGGGAACCCCAACCCTAAAAAACAGGAAATAAGGGCCTACTCCGGGTCCTAGAAAACTCCAAGCCTAAACCCAAATGAGGTCCCAAGCTTCTGGGTAGACATGTGTTATGTCTTACTTGCTCCATAATGCCATATCCTAAGGGAACTATGCCCAAACAAGTTAAGGGCTACTTGTTCGACTACTGAGTTTCCTTGGGGACGACGCGCAAAACATGGGTGATCGTATACGCTATCGTGCTCTCATCCCAATTCATATTCGGCTATACGGGCCACGAACCCTTTCAGCAGAGGATCTGAAGGGGCCCGCAACAAAAGATCCGCCCCGAACGCTTGCGGGATATTGGGACTTGTTCAGGCTTACTAAGCCTGAGCTACCCTAAACCTTGGTACCCGTTTGGGGTTGGTTACTTTTTGAAGGGAACACAGAGACCAAAAAAAAAGAGTAAAGGGCACCATTGGGCTGCCAAGAAACCCTAAACCCTAAAGGCTATAACCCTACAACCCTATAACCCTATACACCTATACACCTATAACCCTCTAACCCTTGTAATTACAACGTGGGTGAGCTCCCTGAAAAGTTAACTGGCTAAGGGGCAATGACTCTCTGACATTTGGCTTTGCGAACAGGGTTTAGTGGTTCGGGTTTAGGGTGCAGGGTCTAGAACTGGGGTTTGGGGTCTTGGGCTTTGGGCCAAGGTCTTCGGGTGATTTGGGGCTAAGGCTCTCGGATGTTGTGGCTCGAACCCCATGTTCGTGTCTTGGCCCCGCTTGTTGGGGGGGCTGGGGGGTTTAGGGATTAGGGTTTAAGGTTTAGGGTTGATGAGCCCAAGACACTTCAAGGGCAAGACTAGGCTGGAGCACCACACGGAGAGGGTTGACAAACTTGGCCCCTCTTTCCGGGGCACTTCGACCCTAAACCCTAAACCCTAAACCCTAAAACCTGAACCCTAAACCCTAAACCCCAAACCCTAAACCCTAAACCCTAAACCCTCGACGCCCGAGCGGCAAGAGCCGAGGGATGCAGGTTTTCGCCTGTTGCTCCACCTCCTGCAGCCTCCCGATCGCAAGGAGGCTAGGGTTTAGGGTTTAGGGTTTAGGGTTTAGGGTTTAGGGTTTAGGGTTTAGGGTTTAGGGTTTAGGGTTTAGGGTTTAGGGTTTAGGGTTTAGGGTTTAGGGGGTTTAGGGTTTTAGGGTTTAGGGTTTAGGGTTTAGGGTTTAGGGTTTAGGGTTTAGGGTTTAGGGTTTAGGGTTTAGGGTTTAGGGTTTAGGGTTTAGGGTTTAGGGTTTTTTAGGGTTTAGGGTTTAGGGTTTAGGGTTTAGGGTTTAGGGTTTAGGGTTTAGGGTTTAGGGTTTAGGGTTTAGGGTTTAGGGTTTAGGGTTTAGGGTTTTTAGGGTTTAGGGTTTAGGGTTTAGGGTTTAGGGTTTTTTAGGGTTTAGGGTTTAGGGTTTAGGGTTTAGGGTTTAGGGTTTAGGGTTTAGGGTTTAGGGTTTAGGGTTTAGGGTTTAGGGTTTAGGGTTTAGAGTGTAGGGCTTAGGATTTAGGGTTTAGGTTTAGGGGTTTGGGGTTTAGGGGTTTGGGGTTTGGGAGTAAGGGCTTGGGGTTTAAAATTTAGTTTACTTGGGACTCTACTTACCTACAGCTTACTAGTGAGTACCCCTTAATCACTAGGTATAACCCACAGAAGCCGTAGGTAAAGAGAGTCCCAGGTAGGGTTTAGGGCTTGGGGCTTGGGGTTTAAGGTTCAGCGGTCAGGGTGCGGGGTTTAGGTTTTTCGGTATCGGGCAGCACCCCGAGCTCCCAACTCCCTCAACCCGCCCCACACCATCCACGTAGACTTAATTCGGGCTCTGAGCCGGGATTTGGGATCTAAGGTGCCTCACTCGGAGAACCCCAACCTCATGTGGCTCTACTTGCTGTTGCTTGGCAGGGAATCATGAAATAGCAGGAATAGCCAACCAACAGAAACACGGTTTGGGGGTCAGGGTTTTGGAGAAAAAGCCTTGGTTTTTCCGCTGCTTGGACATGCCAGTCCCCGAAACCCTAGTCCTAATCCTTAAACCCTCAACCCGACTCCCGCCTGTAGTTGTGCTGCATAAGGCTCTTGTGCTCTCGCTGCAGTCGTGTGAGCTCCTTCCGATCGGCGGCCTTCATCCTAGCAACCACGGTGGGTTCATGGTTTAGGGCTTCGGGGTTGAGGGATTCCAGGGTGGATATAGGGTTTAGGGCTTCGAGCTTAGGGTTTGGGGTTTAGGGCTTGGGGTTAAGGGTTTAGTCAGCAAGGCTTCGGGCTTCATTTCCAACGGCGTCTAAGCGAGAGAGCTTCTTCGGGTTCTGTCCGGGGTCTGTGGTTTCGGATTCGGGGATTTTGGAAAATTCCTGGGTTCCAAGGCTCAGCGGCTAGGGTTTCATGGAGCTCAACTATACGCTTTTCCCGAAAACCCCCGTAAACCCAAAACGCAAAACACTAGACCCTAAACCCTATAAACCCTAAACCCCAAACCCTGAACCCTAAACCCTAAACCGAAAACCCACAGCCCTAAACCCTAAACCCTGAACCTTAACCCGCAGGCTCCTGGAGAGGTCCAAGGAGCCGTCGTCCCTCGCTGAGTACCGCGACCTCACAGCCGAGCTCTTGCCGAACCCTCGCCTCCCAGACTGCCTGGACCCTAGATGCCTGTAAGGTTTAGGGTTTAGGGTTTAGGGTTTAGGGTTTAGGGTTTAGGGTTTAGGGTTTAGGGTTTAGGGTTTAGGGTTTAGGGTTTAGGGTTTAGGGTTTAGGGTTTAGGGTTTACCCTACAACCTTGACAGTAGCTCCAGGGAACCTAAACAGTAGACACTTCAAAGAGAGGGCTTTGGCTTCTGGAAACTTCACATCTTTGTTGTGTGCCCTAAAGCCTAAACCCTACACCCTAGACCCTAAACCCTAAACCCTAAACCCTAAACCTAGACCTGCGAAACCTCCTCTGGCCAAGAGTGACCTAGGAATGACATGGGAGCCCTTTTTGGTACACGGGGGGCTAAAAAAGGGAACCCAAGCCCACAAAAGGGGAACCTCGGGCCTCCTCTGGGCCCTAGTAGCCCTAAACCCTAAACCCTAAACCCTAAAGCCTGAACCCAAAGAAAAAGAGGGAATGAGGGCCTACATCTACCATTGCCTCAAGAACCCCAAAAGAATAAAGCAAAATAATCCCCATATTACCCTTTATAAGGAATATTATATATATATATATACATATATATACATATATATCTTTTTATTTTTTTGTTGTTGGGGGGGGGGTTCTGAAGCAATCCGTAGATAACGTCAGGTCGAGGAGCTGAATGGACCTGTACTTGTCCTCAGCTGCAGCGGGTGCGGTGGCAGAATGGCAGATAGCCCTAAACCCTAAACCCTAAACCCTAAACCCTGCATTCCCTGAACCCTAAACCCTAAACCCTAAACCCTAAACCCTAAGCCCTAAACCCTCCAGTCCCTAAACCCTAAACCCTAAACTTCGGGTCTACTAGTAGGGCTCGGGATCCTAAGCCCGGCTGTTACTCCCCCACCCTGCCTGTGGGGTTGTTCGGTTTTTAACGAAAACTCTTTTCTCGCCCGGTCTACTATGCACGCCTTCATAATTAGAATAGGTTGTTTTTGGGGGGTGGGGGTCATTAGAGTGTATGTATATATATATATATACACATATATATATATGAATATATACAGGGACCCTAAGGGAATGTTACTAGTAATTTTTCCGAACCCCAGGATTACTCCTCGCCCGTCACGCGTATCCCACCCACAGCAACTAACCTTGGCAGATGGAAACGACAAAGAACAGACAAAGAAGGACCGAAACGTTAAACGAGCTTCAGGGTCTCACACCTTTGCGGCTCATTGCCCTAGCTTGGCTGCACTCAGAAGGGTAGCTAAAAATTAAATTTTTAGCTGCCATATTAAGAAACCCAATAACCCAAAAAGGCTAAGGATCTAAAGTTACAGTAAAGCACTACAAAGCTAGGTGCTCGCGGTTGCAGCGAAGCTTCTCGGATGCTGGCGATGCTCATCTCCACATCATGTCGCTGCTCAGATGGCGACTGCTTGCCCCTGGTCCAGGGCTGTTTGCATGAGAGCTTCTCGGCGGAGACTTGGGGTTGAAAGTGGCTCTGTGACTGGGAGCTCCAGCAGCAAGGCTGTTGTTATTCCTACGTGGATCTTGTCTTACTCTCATTGTTACTACAACGCACATTCTTTGATTCTGAGCGCGCCAAAACATGGCACCTTCAATAATTCTAATAATACTAATAGTATTAATAACAGTAATAACAATGATAGCAAGAATAATATAACAACAACAATACTAATAATCATCAGCATTGTTTGTTTATTCAATACTGTTACTGAAAAGCAGTCATCACGCTCTTACCCTAAACCCTAAACCCTAAACCCTAGACCCTAAACCCTAAACCCAATTTTTATCGGCTGAATAAGATCCAGCCCTGCAGGCGCCTGAGCCAGTCGAAGGGCATGGCCGCCAGGCCATAGGCGGTGTATAGCGCCTCGTGAGGGCTTCGGTTTAGGGTTTCGGGTTTTTGTTTAGGGTTCAGGGTTCAGGGTTTAGGGTTTAGGGTTTAGGGTTTAGGGTTTAGGGTTTAGGGTTTAGGGTTTAGGGTTTAGGGTTTAGGGTTTAGGGTTTAGGGTTTAGGGATGGTCCCAGAGAGCCCAAGAATACCCCTTGAGAATTAAGGAGCATACCTTAAACCATGATAAGGACCCCCCGTAAATCATCTTAAGGTGTCTTCCCTCAAGAGTATTGGGCTCTTTGAGGTTGCAAGTAAGTTAGGATACACGTCAAAGTACCGTAAACTCGAGGCATGGTCAGGATACAGCCCAAAACCTGAAACTTGAAACCCAAAGCCCTCAACAGTAAACCCTAAACCCTAAACCCCAAGCTATGCCTGCGCAACCCTACTCACAACTGTCCGTTCACCTTCGATTTTCTGAGATGCTTCGAAGGTCGGGGGGCCGAAATCTTGTGCGGCCTAAACCGAAGTGACGATCCGGAGAAGTCAGACCCGAAAGCCCTAAACCCTAAACCCTGAATAAACCGGGTGCCCTCCGCCCGAGCCTAGCCTGCGATAGGGGCTCAGGGATTTGTGTAAGTCGAAGAGGTCAAGCATCGCGAGCCTACACTCCGGACATCTGTAATCAATTCACCCCCATGCTGAACCGAACCCTTGGACCCTAGAGTCAATGCCTACCCCACCTTCACAACGAAACGCTCCCAGCCTTTAATGCGCGGACTGTGCAATAACCCTGAACCCTAAACCCTAAACCCTAAACCCTAAACCCCAAACCCCAAACCCTAAACCCTAAACCCCACGACTCTAAAGTCAAGAGGAGCTGCCCAACCAAGCACGCCGGCCAGTGTGAGGCAAGCGATCGCAAAGGAGACCGCATTTAGACCTTCCGCTCACAGGAATACAGCTCCGCTGGCAATGTGCGGAGTTTATTGGGTCAAGGTTCGGGAGTTATCCAAGTCAGGCTGATGAAAGGCGGCACTTTGACTTATCCGAAACTACCGCACGGCCAGCAAGGACCCGACAAACTGATGACGCGATACCCGATGCTGCGCCACGCCATGATGCCAATTGTGCGCACAACCCCGCTACTGAGCGTGTGCGGAGAGACGCTGTGTCTTCAGTAGCCCCTTAGCAAAGGAATATACCTTAAACTATATAGGGCATGGGGATCCTGAACATGGTTTACCGTAGATTCCTGACCCTAAACCCTAAACCCCAAACCCTAATTAAACCCTAAACCCTAAAAATCAGGGTATCTGGGGCTCTCTGGGGGAAATTCACGTCAGTGCGGCATCTGAGGCATCTGCTTGGCAATTGTCAGGGTGCGACGCAAAGCTTCCCGTGTCTCTCGCCCTTGGTTTAGGGTTTAGGGCTTAGGGCTTAGGGTTTAGGGTTTAGGGTTTAGGGTTTAGGGCTTAGGGTTTAGGGTTTAGGGTTTAGGGTTTAGGGTTTAGGGTTTAGGGTTTAGGGTTTAGGGGTGGGGGGGTGTGTGGCCCGGCCTTTGTGGTCGACATCCAGCAGGTCATTTAGCCACCTGCATTGCACCCTATAAACATTTCAAGGCTCCAAGTTGTTTAGGGTTTGGGGTTTGGGGTTTAGGGTTTAGGGTTTAGGGTTTAGGGTTTAGGGTTTAGGGTCACTGAAGGCCCAAGGCTCATAGAGTTTTGGTGTTTAGGGCCTAGGGGTTGGGATTTGAACGGCCGGGTTTCCGGAAAAACGGGCTCGGGGAAGAATTTCGGGGCTTCGGAACATAGGGATACCTTATTTGGGGTCCGTAGTCTAAAGGAACCCGACTATTTTGGGGTCTCTAGAAGGGTCCCTGATTTTGGCAAACCCCCCATTTCGGACTTTAGCGTTTTGTTTGGGCTCGGCTTCTTCTTCTTCTCCTTCTCCTTCTTCTTCTTCTTATTCTTATTATTATTCTTCTTCCTCTTCTTCTTCTTCCTCTTCTTCTTCTTCTTCTTCCTCTTCTCCAGGGTTTTTTGGAGCTCGAGGCTTCGGCCTGGGCGTGGCCTGTCTGCTTAGGATTTAGGATAGGGTTTAGGGCTTGCTTAGGGCTTAGGGCTTGGGGCTTAGGGCTTGGGGCTTAGGGCTTAGGGCTGAGGGCTTAGGGGGCTTAGGGTGCTTAGGGTGCTTAGGGTGCATAGGGTGCACAGGCTGCATAGGATCCATGGAGTACAAGGGTGTGTTAGGGCAGCGCGCCCTTCGGCCCGCAGAGGCCCACAAACCCCCCACTCTGCCGAAAACCGAAAAAACTCTACCCGGAGACTCCAATACTCCTGAAATAAGGAATGTTCCTTAAACCATATATGCAACTCTATTCTACTGTAAGGGATATTCCTTAGTTAAGGGGTACTGGGGTTCTTGGAAAGTGCAGGTTCGCGGGCCACGAATTGCCCATGAACCTTTAGTAATCTAAAGCAGCCAAGAAAGCTGCGCCTTCGAGGAGGTGGCTGTTTGCCAAGTGGAACCCTAAACCCTCAGCCCTAAACCCTAAAACCTAAATCCTAAACCCTAAACCCTAAACCCTGAAACCTGAACCCTGAACCCTAAACCCTTAGGCAATAGGGTTTAGAGAGAGGTAGCGGAAGCACAAAAGTGGCTCATGGGGAAATGGCCCACCTGTCGAAGTCTGAGACTAATCGAAACCCAAAACCCAAAACCCTAAACCCTAAACCCGCCCACCACCCCTCTCCTTCTAGAGACTAATCTAAACCCTAAACCCTAAACCCTAAACCTTAAACCCTAAACCCTAAACCAACTACTCACCCCTCAAAACAAAACGGCGGCCTCACGGCGCTCTCCTCGCTCTGCAAGGCGCCGTCGAGACTTTCCTGTCTTGGGGTTCAGAGTTTAGGGTTTAGGGTTTAGGGTTTAGGGTTTAGGGTTTCAGCGGTAGGCGGTTTAGGGTTTAGGGTTTAGGGTTTAGGGTTTCGGGTTTCGGGTTTAGGGTTTGGGGTTTAGGGTTGAGGGTTTTGGGTTTAGGACGGAGACAAGGTACCCCAAAACCAGAACCCTAAAAAGTTGTGCATCTTAGGGTTTATGAGTTTAGGGTTGAGGGCTAGAGGTCTTAAACTCCTACCCTAAACCCTAAACCCTGAACTCTAAACCCTAAACCCTATACCCTAAACCCTAAACCCCTCAAAACCCAAAGCTGTCAAGCCGACCCCAAACCTCCGCAGATGATGCAACGGAGCTCTGAACTCCTAGGCCCTAAGCCCTTTGTACTAAGGTTTAGGGTTTAGGGTTTAGGGTTTAGGGTTTAGGGTTTAGGGTTTTGGGTTTTGGGTTTTGGGTTTAGGGTGTAGTGTAGAGTTTAGGGTGTAGGGTTTGGAGTTCCTCCTTTGCAAGCACGTGTGAATCTTGCTGAGAAGTACTACGTTCAAATCTCACGTCAACAGCCCTTGCATCAAGAGCCCTACAACAGGGATCAGGGCTCAGAACCCCATATCCGTAATTGAAAATGAAACATGAAATCTAGAAGCCTCTCTGCCAAAAACCCTGAACCCTAAACCCTAAACCCTCAACCCTCAAGCCTAAACCCTAAACCCTCAACCCTAAACCCTAAACCCTAAACCCTAACCGTAAACCCTAAACCCTAAACCCTAAACCCTAAACCCTAAACCCTAGACCTGGGCAGGGTTGAGGGTTTTGGGTCTCGGGCTCACCGAAACCCCAAGCCCCCAAAAGCGCCGGAGCCCCCTTTCAGCCCATAGACGCGCCACTCTTCCCCAGGGTGCGCCTTGTGGCCCGGTCTGAAGTTGAGGCCGATGATCAGGAGTATGAGAACCTTAGGGTTTAGGGTTTAGGATTCAGGGCTTGGGGCTTAGGGTTTAGGGTTTGGGGTTGGGGTTTAGGGTTTGGGGTTTCCGGGTTCAGGGGTTTAGGGCTTAGGGTTTAGGGTTTGGGGTTTATAGGGCTTGGGCTTTAGGGTTTGGGGTTTAGGGCTTAGGGTCTGCGGGTTTAGGAGCAAGGCTTGAAAAGCAAAGCCTCACCTTTTTGTAATCAATGGCCATCAGGGGGGGGAAAACTACCCCCCTTGCAACTGTCCCAGGTCTGGGTCCAGAAGCTCCGGCTCATCCACGTCACCAGCCTGCAGTAGGCCTTAGGGAGGGTGGAAGACCGCGGTTGAGAGCTGGGTCGGCGACCGGCGCGACCGCGTAGCCAGTGGCGACGCTCCGCGTCCTCAGCGCCGCTGGCCCTGGCCAAGGCCTCGGACTCCTCACGCCATCATCCTTCTGGGTTTCCATGCTGACTTGTGTGATCTGGAAGCTGCAAAGTTCGGGACCAACTTAAAGTTCTGCACCCAGAATGGTCTCAACAAATCCAAGGCGTTAAAGTGTTTGGAAAATGTCCCAGGTCATGGCTCCCTCTAGCTCTTTAGCCCCAAACCCTCAACCACGTGTTTAGGGGTTGAGGGTGTCAGGGCTCTGGGTTTAGGGTTCACGGGAAGAAGCAACAGGTCAAACCCCCTCCCTAACCCAAGAGATGAGCCATCAGCAGTACTTCCCTAAGGCTCCCTAAGGCTCCTTAGAGTTCCCTAGAGTTCAGGGTTTAGGTTGCGGGTATAGTAACCGGGTTTAGGGTTTAGGGTTTCCAAAGGTTCCATGCTTCATTCGACTCCGCCCTCACTAACTAAAGCACCTTACAAGTTGAAACTTGATGGGCTTACCTGAATCCCCAAACCAAAAACCCTGTAAACCCCAAACCCTCAACCAGCTCTAGCCAGGAAGCGAAACCGACGAAGAAGCCCGTCGAGCGGAAGGCCTGAGGAGGACTTCAAGTTAACCCGCTTGAGGGTAGTTCAGGGTTTAGGGTGTAGGGTCTAGGGTTTAGGGATTAGGGTGATTAGGGGAAGGGCCTTCAGGTGGTTTAGGGTCTTTGGGGTTTAGGGCCTTTAGGGTTTATCAGGCTTTGGGCAGAAACACTTTGAGTGGCCTTAAGGCAGGTCGATACTCTCTTAGGCTTCCCTGGAGTTCGGAGGTCGGCATTGGAAGGTTCATGGGCAGTTCCTACGGATAAAAACCGCAAACCCTAGACCCTAAACCGCGGTTTGGGGCGTCGGGCATAGGGTTGAGGAAGCCACATTGGGTTCAGGGGGTGTTCGGCAGCTCAAAACGCAGCTTTCTGTGGGGGATTAGGTTTTAGGGTTTAGCGACATTCTCATGTTTGTTACGGTGCCTAAAGCCCAACGAAAGATGCCCATGAACCGTCAGGTAGAGCTGGAGGGATGCAAGGGGCGAGAAAAGGAACAAAGCGGGCAAGTGCCTAGGCGCCCTAAACCCGAAGCCCTAAACCCCAAGCCCTACGCCCTGAGCCCTAAACCCTGAGCCGTAAACCCTGAACCCTAAGCCCTAAGCCCTAAACCCAAAGCCCTAAACCCTAAACCCTAAGCCCTAAACCCTAAGCCCTAAACCCTAAACCCTGGCGTCAGCCCCGCAAGTGTTTGTTCCCGCGCTCGCAGGGCCGAAAGCAGGCGACGTCGGCCCAGGAGGGGAGCGGCTCGCTGGGCGCCAGCCTGGAGAGTTTGGTTTTGGCTTAGGGTTTTGGGTTTAGGGTTTCGGGTTTGGGGTCTAGGGTCTAGGGTTTCGGGGGGTCTAGGGGCTGAGGGGCTTAGGGGCTTACGGGCATAGAGGTTTTCCTTTTGCGGTTTAGGGGGGGGGGGTTCTTGTCTTTCTGTTGGACAGCTTTTTGGTGCCTTTAAGACCTTTTAACGGCTTTAGAGGGCATTCAAGGGCTTTCCAGGGACAGGGCTTTATTGCTTTAGGGAAATTAGGGCTTGAGGATTTTAGGAGCTGAGGAAATAGGGCCTATAGGCTTTAAGATTTGACTTAGGAGTTTAGGGCAATAGGGCTTTAGGGTTCAGGGTTAAGGAGAAGGACCCGAAACCTTAAACCCTAAACCCTAAACCCTAAACCCTAAACCCGGCTTAAAGGCCTGTAGGGTTTTCATTGAGGATTCGGGGGACCTTGCTTGAAGGGCTTAGGGTTTGGGGTTTGGGGTATAAAGGCCTGACAGAGTTACAGAACTTGTGCCTGCTTTCGGACCCTGAAGCCTAAACCTTGCAGCTTGGGGTTACGTCTAAGCCTTAAGACCTAAACTCTCAACCCAATACCCCTAAACCCTAAACCCTAAACCCTAAACCCTAAACCCTAAACCCTAAACCCTAAACCCTAAACCCCGAAACCCTAGAGGTGCCCCTAAAGTTTAAGGCCTTGGGGTTGAGTGTAAGGCCTGGGCCTTCGGAGTTTGGTTTTTTTGGGGGATTAGCTTGGGCCTGTGGAGCTTTGGGTTTAGGGTTTAGGGTTTAGGGTTTAGGGTCTAGGGTCTAGGGTTTAGGGTTTAGGGTCTAGGGTCTAGGAGTTAGGGTTTAGGGTTTTAAAGGTTTTGCAGGGTAGGGAGACACATCCACGCTCTAGTGCCCGTAGGACTTCGGGCTTTGGGGCTAAGCCCTGCACCCTACTAACCCTACTAACCCTACTGACCCCTGAGCCCTAAACCCTAAACCCTAGTGTAAAATCAGGGCTTCTGGCGGATGGTCAGGGTGTAGCTCCAAAACCCCAACCTTGAACCCTACACCCTCGACCCTCAGTCCTCTCATGTCCTTCGAAAGCGGACCCTGAGGGTTCAGGGTTTAGGGCTTATACTTAGCTTTGGAGTAGATCCTGGGAAAAAAGTATATACTCTTTAGGTATAAGTAGCTATTATAGGAACCCAGAACCAAAAAAAGTATTAAAGTGTCGTACTCCAAAACCCAGTTGAGGCTTTCTGCACATGAACTAGCTCAGATATAATCCCAAAAAAAGCTCGCGCAATTGCGAGGTACCGCTTGCATGGTGAGTAAGTCGTGAGAAGAGAAAACCAGGAAAACAACCCAGAACCAAAAACCCTCACAACTTTCTCCACCCTAGACCCTCTAGGAAAGGGTTTAGGGCTCAGGGTTCAGGGTTTAGGCTTTAGGGTTTAGGGGTTTAGGGTTTAAGGGGTTTAGGGTTTAGGGTTTAGGGCTTACGGCTCCTCTAACCCTCTACATGCCCCAAGCTCTGCTTCTCGTCTGCTCACCGGGCCGCGCCAAGCGCAAGGTAAGGTTGGCGCGATAGCGCCTTGAAAGCACGCTGCGGGTTGATTGTGTGGTATTGAAAGACCTGATGCCTAGCCTAAACCCTGAACCCTAAACCCTAAACCCTAGAAGTTTGTTTGTTTTTTATCTTTTTTTTTTTTTTTTTTTTTGGGGGGGGGGGGGGGGGGGTGGGGTGTCCTTCCGCAACAGGGAAGCTTTGGGAAGCTAAAGCATTAGGGAACATTGCGGAACTTTGAGCTACTTACCCGCCTCCGACCCACTCCAAAAATTGTTTCTTACATGCTTGAAAGTTCATGGGAAGTTAAGGCAACCTAGAGTTAGTATACTCTATACAAGGATTCTCGTATGGCTAACCCGAACCCTAAACCCCCTACCTAGAGCCACAAAAACCTACCAAAAGGGGGAAGCGGGCTAGTAGGCACCTGAGCATGAGCGCACGCTTGGGATGTTGCCCCTTATGCTAACAGTCCTTCATGGGGATTATAAAAAGGGATACGAGAAGGCCCAGTAAGGACGAATAGTATAAGGGGGAACATCCCAACTTACTCCCAAGCGCGCGCCATGGTGCGCTTGAACAACAAGCCCCCAAGAATCACAAAGGGGGCAGCGGTGGTCTGAAGGGAAGGTACAAGAGAGGCTTAAGGGGAGTCTACGGGTAACCCCCAAAAAAATCAACCCTCAACCTAAACCTCAACATCCCCCGTGTTAAAATCCTGAGCCCTAAACCCTAGACCCCAAGCCCTAACCCTAAGCCCATCTGCCCTTCGGAAGAGGACATGTTCTGGGCTTATTGAGCATACGCACCAAACCCTAAACCCTAAACCCCAGAACCCGAAGCCCTAAACCCCTAAGCCCCTGAACCCTAAACCCTAAACCCTAAATCCTAAACGCTAAACCCTAAACCCCAGAACCCTAAACCCCAGAACCCTAAAGAAACCTAAACCCGAAAACCCTGGCAATCACTGTGGCTCCAGCTCGGCAGCCCGCTCATCGGCAGCGCAGGCGTGGGAGCAGAATGCCACCTAGTTTAGCGTTTAGGGTTCAGGGTTTAGGGTTTAGGGTTTGGGGTTTTGGGTTTTCCTACATGCCCAAGGCAATTTGAGGGGCTTTGTGTAGGTTCAGGCTTTCGGGTTCTGGGGTTTAGTGTTCTGGGGTTAAGGGTTTTGGCTTCTGGGGCTTGCGGGGTTTAGGGCTTAGGGTTTGGTACGCAGGCTCAATAAGTCCAGAACAAGTCCTCTTCCGAAGGGCAGATGGGCTGCGCCAGGTTGGCTAAGATTTTGCAGCTGCAAAAATGCTTTGGGGCGTTTTGTCGGCTATGCCCCCCCCCCTCAGAAGCGTAGTTAAAATACTATTTGAATATTCCTCTTGGGCTTTATCTGAATTAAAAAAAGAATAGAATTCCTCAGGAGACTATCGTCGGTGGGAAGAGTGCGCCCATGGGTTTCGCACTTCTTGGGGAGAGCTTGGCAGCGTGGCGTTCGGGATGAATCAGGGGACTGAAGGAGGGACCCTTATAGGGGACCTTAGAGGTCATTGAAGGGTTATTTGGGGGCTACTTAGGCATTTTGTGACTAAATACGGTAGAAATAGGGGTTCTGTAGGGGCATAAGAGATTAAGGGTCCCTCCTTCTACCCCACAATTGAAGGTGCTCAGTGCCTCGTAGCTGAGGCGACAGCGCCGCAGCCCCTTGCGGGCGCCGCATGACCAGCATCGCAAAGGCGCGGCCTGCGTTGTGGCAAGCTACTTCCCGAAAAAACCCTAAACTCTAAACCCTAAACCCCTAAACCCCTAAACCCCTAAACCCTAAACCCTAAACCCTAAACTACATTCATTTTTTGGGGGGGTTGTTAAGCAAATTGGCAAGCTCTAGCTTCGGGACGGCCACCGAACATGCCGCTTGAATTCCCTGCAGATGCTGTCCGTGCTGTGCTGGAGGAGCGTTTAGGGTTTTGGGGTTTAGGGTTTAGGGTTCTTGAGGGAGGGGGGATCATGGGGGGTAGGTACCTAGGGAACCTTAACTCCCCTCCCTGAAAAGTGATTGCTAGTCCTTGCGTTTTGGGATTCGGTCGAAAGCCTCGCATTTGGCAGGGCGGAACTCGCCCCCCGCGCGCGCACAAGGCAGCGGGCCATGAAGGTGTTGGATATTCGCACACAACAACTAAAGATGG